TACAGGTCTGTGGTTCGAATCCCTTACTTCTCTGGTGCCTACGATGACCAACCTGCAAGTGGCTATTAGGGATCGAGCCCTGGGACCTACATCAGCTACTTCGAACTGGTGAATACCGTTTCACTCCCACCGGCCTAAATTCGAGGTCCTCCGAGAAAATTTCAGTTTAAGACAGGATCTTTACCCTTCTGCTGTCTTTCGTAGGCCCGGACTATGTGGGGAGCTGTCTCTAGAAGTTCAGATTTAGTAAACCAGCGGTCGTCTTCTGGTTCCTGATAACTAAAGTGAACCTTGTATTGTTTCTGTGGACGACCTCTACCTCCAGTCCTGAATACATCTTCAGCCACTATTCCATCAATGTCGTATCTTCCATCCATATCCGGTGGGATCATGGACCTACGGGATGGAAACTGGTCACTTGTTTGACACGGTAACAACTTTGATGCGTGGAAAATTGGGTAAGTGTGGAGGTGTGCTGGTAACTCTATAGTATAGGACGGTCCATCTGCGCCGCCTTTGACTTCTAGGACTGGCCACGGTCCTCTATAGGTGGGTAGTAACTTCTGCGAGATGTTCTCCTCAGGTGTAAACTCTTTAGAACTGACCCAGACTAAGTCGCCTACTTGATACTGCGAAGGGCGACGATGTTTGTTTGCTTGTTCTATCATCCTGTGCTGGGCCTTTCTGAGGTTTTCTATTACAGTAGCTAGTTCTTTCTCGTGTTGCACAGCAAACTCCCGGGTCCCGAGTGGCAATCTGTGAATTTGATCCCGGCTAAGTCCTTCAAATGGTCTACGGGGCCTAAAGGACTCGTGCAGTTCATTGGGAGTGCGGCAGGTGGACAGATGCACGCTGTTATTATATGCACTAGCTACCTTAGGTAACATCTCATCCCAGTTAATTTGATCCGGCCTAATGTACATGCGCAGAACTTGTTGTAGGATCTTGTTCATTTGCTCTGTCTGACCGTTAGTCTCTGGATGGCGGCCGGACGACATCAATAACTTAGATCCATACACTCTCATGAGTTCTTGCCAGTTCTGGCTAGTAAAGCGACTATCTCTATCGCTAACTATAGACAGTGGGATTCCGTTCTCACTAACCCAACAGTCGAAGAACCTMTGTATGACTAAATCAGTACGCGCTTCAGAAGGCAAAGGAACAAAAACTGCGTACTTGCTAAAGCGGTCAACTATGACCATGATTTGGCTCTTGCCATGCCTGCTCTTGACTTGAGTGTCCATGAAATCTATTGACACTGAGTCTCCCGGCTGATCCGGAATGGGCAAGGGTCTGAGAAGGCCTAACGTGGCACGCGTAGAAGACTTGTTACGCTGGCAGACCTTACAACTGCGAACATACTCTACGCAGTCATTCTTCATCCCTGGCCAGGTATACGCGCGCATCAGATTGGCTAAGGTCTTTTGCCAACCAAAATGACCTTCTGTGTCGTGGCATTCTCCCAAGATCAAACTACGGATCTTTTCGCTATTGGGGATGCACAACCGGTCAAAGACATTAGTCTTCTCAAATAGCAATCCCTCAGTAGTGCGGTAATTCGACTCAGTCTCTGGGGCTTCTTTGACTTTCTTAAGGAGGTCACTATAGATAGGGTCCTGTGCGTAGGCCTCTCTAACCTCTTGCTGCAGGTCTTTCCCTATATCGAGGTAATGCACTATCGCCCCGAAGTAAT